TGTGTTGTAACATATAAGTGTACGTACTTTGCGTGTAAACAAATTATGTGATAGTGGTTTCCTATTTGTAGTGATGTTTGCCCTCTGAAGATGGTCCACAGAGACCGAAACATGTAAGGGTGTTAAGTTTTTATGTAGTAAAAAACTTACGGTCACATTGGACGGAGTGATTTATAATTTGTAAATTTTAGAACATTTTTGAACCATGGTTCATCATATAAAGATTGTGTATGTAACATAAAACATTTAACATATTAGTGGCTATAACTTTTGCCCTCTTGTGTGTATGGTGGTGCTCACACATACACACACATCCTACTTTATTGTGTGTGAATATTGTACCATACATTTTGAATTGTTTCATTTTGGTCCGTTACACTATCAATCACTAATTGTCAATAGATTTTCCGTCAAGTGCAANTACGCAACGCACACCGCGTAAGATACACCCGACCACAAGCCTACACAACTCTGTGCTGACGCCTCCCCCCATTGGGACGATTCACCAAGAAGGAGCCTGAATAATATTTTACTTGAACGTTTTTTAATTTTTTAACTTTAAATTTTAACGTTGACGACTCGGTTTTGAGGGTGGTCCTTTAGATGCAAGTGCTATACCTGCATTCAAGATACTGGGAAGTGTTGTGCTTTACACTCCGTTATATGTAATAGTTTCCACGAATAATTACATATTGTGAATGTTGAGCTGTGCCAGTGTTTTCATGGTTTGTTATAAGTGCCTCTGAAGATGGTTCCTTGGAACCGAAACATGTAAGGCAGATGAGATAATTAAGTGATCAAAATATACATTGTTGCACTTGACGGAAAATCTATTGACAATTAGTGTACCATACATGTTCATGTATGCCATTAGGTCTCTGGAAACACTATTTTAAACACATGTAATTATTAGTGGCTGTAACTTATACAGTCTAGTGTTATGATGATGGCACACAATGGTCTTTAATGGGTCATGTTTGTGGACATTGTATCTTATATGTTTATAGAGGGTTTCAAAATCTTATGGCCAAACTTAGGAAGTTGTTTTTCTTTGTGGAGCAGTGGGCATGAACACTAAGCTAGAAAATCATATGTGGGGATGATTTAACCTTGAGATTATTGTCTTGGGATCAGTGAAACTTGACATGAAATGAGAGAGACCCTTAAATCAAGGAACATTAAACATGGGTTCCACTGTATTTGTATTAATGACAAACACTTAATTTTTGCAAGTAGTATGCTAAATGTGTTGCTGTTTACAATTTAAGTTGCCACATAAATTTCTCATGACTACCAACAGTATGGTCATAATGAAATATACTGCAATATGTATATTGATGCTTAACTCCAGTATGCAGTTATTAAAAGTAAAAGTAATTTTTGCAGCATTGCAGCCCTCAGAACAAAGGTGACTATTTATACCAGCTCAACTAGAAAGGGATAGCATAGTCCGTATAGCATAGCAACTGGCAACGGGCTGGACAACTAAAGGATTGGAGTTTGGTCTAGGTAGGCTCAAGAACTTTCTCTTCTCCCCTTTGTCCAGCCTGGGTCAGGGGTCCACTCAACCTCCTATCCAACAGGTACTGGGTGATCTTTCCCAGGGTGTGAAGCTCACTGCTCACCTCCAACTAGTGCCAAGGTCAAGAAAATGTGAATCTATAAACTCACTCCCCCATACGCCTTCATTTAAGCACAGGGACAGTTTTACCTTTTTTCTGTACCTTATTGTGGGATTTGAGCAACTTATTAATACTGATAGAAAAGTTAGTAAAATAAATATTAAGGTAAAGTTGTTACTATGCTGAACTAACGAATGCCGTGAGAATATGGGAGAGTGGAGGTGAATGGTCAGCTTTATGCCCCAGCCACTATACCCCCAGTGAAAGAGCCCCAGATACCCATTGAGTAGGAAGCTGAGTGAGCTTTAGAGCCAGAGTGGACAACATGGAGAGGATAAAATTCTTGCCCCTGCTAGGACCCAAACTCCGATGCCTCACTGTCTAGACTGTAGCCAGTTGCTGTACTCACTGCACCTTGCCAGTTCCCTGAAATAAGTATTAACTCCTACAAAACTGGGAATTGAGGAATTAATAACATTTAATGTACCTGTATTATGTTGTGCATAAATTTCACAGACATAACTATATCCATTTATTAATATTACCATGTTCTAATTTATTATTCCTGATTTTATTTCAGTTTGTAAAGCATGTATCGTGCGTTACCTTGAGACAAACAAGTACTGTCCCATCTGTGATGTGCAGGTCCATAAAACAAGACCACTTCAGAATATACGGGCTGACCAGACACTGCAGGACATTGTCTACAAGCTGGTGCCTGGCTTATTTCAAAGTGAGTAATGAAGGTATAACTTGCAATGCGGAATGCAATTGGTCTTTGCAATGTGGAATGCTGTAATTTATGCATGCATCCTAGGTGATAACCGTAATGTGAGTGGAAGCTGAGATAAGATTTAGTGAGGACCATGTTACTCTTGGAGTTCTGGTGGTCTCCTTCCTTTCATTGGAGGTGTTGGTGGTTTGAAGGATGAATTTGGATTCTGAATCAGTTGCAGTCTGTCTCCTCTTTATGGGAGTAATTCTGCTGTTGGTCATCTACTAAATGCCGCAGCAAGTTTTGTATACGTATAACGGTGATGGATGGACTGTACAGAAGAAGTACATCTCTTTCACTGTAATATACAAATGGGACATGATTTCATTGGCATTGAAAGATTACTGATCAACTTTTGAACAGTTATGTACCTCGGTTTACAGTGATATGATGAAATGAGACTACTTTTTTCATGTACTGAGATTTATGCATTTTGTGACAATATGACTTAATCACACAAAATTATTACAGCCTTAGGAGAAATAGATCTCTCTTTGATAAGGTGAATGATGCTTATGCTAAATTTTACAGTCCACTAGAACATGAAGCTGTGAATAGAGTTATTGTGCTGCTCTTTAAAGGAGAGTTATTTTCAATCAGTAGATTCTGAATAAATGTAAACATTTTGGTATAAGGATATGTGGTCTGACAATAAAGTTTGCGAACTCATCGCTGTAAAAGTGCTACATTATTGCATTGCTGAATATCACTGTGGTCACCTTCAGAGTACTCCCCGTGGGAAGCTATGCACTAATGCCAGCGCCTAGTCCACCCTTCAAAACAGTTTTGGAAATGGTTTTGTGGACTGGCCTTCAGAGCTGCTTTGGTATTACTTCTGATGTCATCAGTGTCATCAAAATGCCTTCCTTTCAATATTTCCTTTATCTTCAGGAACAGAAAAAAGTCACTGGGGGCTAGATCCAGTGAAGAGGGAGGGTGTTCCAGCACAATTATTTGTTTACTAGGTACTCCCTCACAGACAGTGTTCTTTGGTGAGCTCCTTTGGAACCATTTATTGCTCGCACTTCCTCATGACAAGATCTTCTTTTAAAGATTTTCCTAACTGTTTCTCTGTCGATGTTCGCTTTGTCTGCTATGCTCCTGACAGTCAGCCAACAGTTTTCACGCGCAATTTGACGAACTTTTGCAATGTTTTCTTCAGTTCTGCTCATTGCAGGCCATCCTGATCTCTATTCATCAGTGACACTTTCTCTTTCCTCAGAAAACGTGTCACCCACTTGTAAAATGCTGTTTTCTTCATAGTGCTATCCCCGTAAACTTGCACTAACATTCTCTCTGATTTCGCTTCCACTCTTGCCAACTTTGACAAGAAATTTAATGTTAGTTTGTTGCTCTAATTCAAGTTCCGACATTCTTGCGACAGCACACCAAAACACGCTCAGACAGTAATGGACACCACTTGTATAGAGACTGTCATAGATCAACAGCAACACAGCTGTGAAACGCTGATATGCAGATGTCATCAAACCATACTGAGGATTCTGTCCACTACTGCTGCAGCAAGCACATGGCGAGTTAGCGAACTTTATTGTCAGACATCATACGCAAAGTGTGCAATGTCACTTAGTGTACTTACTTTTCTATTTGGGAAAGGGTATGCAAAATGCAATGCATGATGAAAGCTACACATGCTGTGAGGCAGTAAGAGAGTAGGAGGTGTAGGGCATAAACTTTATACCAACAATTTCATTTACAGATTTATTTGATAATGTGCACACAAGAACTGTCAGATGTTGTTGATCTCTCAGATAAGATCAAAAATGGATGTGTGGGGGCTTCGACAAGACACTAAAATAAATACAGGGTGACATACATTCTAAGGTGGGAGGGAGGTACCTTCATAGCAGTGACTTGGAAAGGCTAGTGGGATGTGTACATATGCATATGTGCAAAAACTACTAGTAGAAGGCACCTTTTGTGATGAGTGTATACAAGTTCAAAAGCCTGTCACTGTTGAAAACCAAAATCAGCATGATGGTGATACTGATGTAGAGGACAGCATGACTAGTAGCAGTTCATTTGGTCAGAGAAGATGGAAGTGGACAAGAAAGTTATTTTTTCACCTGTTGGATAACTGTGTTTAAGAGCTGCATCATTATACAGGATGTTAAGAAAGGGGATACAAGCTTTTTTGGGTTATAGTATGCACTTCAGTGAGCAAAGAAGTCCCAAACCACATTGTATCCAAAAACCATTGCCTGCTGAGATATGGGTGATGTTCGTGTTATCTGTACAGCAGATGCTGTATGTGGTTCACATGCATTTCAACACAACTTTAAGCTCTTTGTTGCACAGAGGTCTGCACTCTGTCAAAAATTTCTGGTTTCACTTGGATCTCCTAATAGACACTTTTTACTCATTGCTGTAATACCTCTTAAGTCGTTGATCAATGCTGAATGCACCAAAGTCCTTAGGTGTCCCCACAGCCAGAATTCTAGAGGATTAGGGTCAAGGGATGGTGGGTGCTAGCTGACTGGACTTCCGCATTGTATCCACTGTTCACCGAAAGTCCAGTTCAGGTGTGGTGCACCATCATGCAGTAACCATGTGTTATTGATGAAGAGGTACATGTTCCAAGAGTACTGGTAAATCATTCAGCAAAACACTGTGGTACACTGCATCTGTTAGTCTGTTAGGTAAGACAACTTGTTCTCAAACTTGATCACCTAAGGTGCCCACCCAGGTGTTGATGGAAAATAGATGTTGATGTATTGCTGCCATGATGGTTTGGGGATTGTCATCCACACAGACACGGGTATTAACAAAAATTCACAATACTGTCCCATGTGAATCCACCATATCAGTAAACAGGATGTTGCCTACAAACTGTGTGTTTACAACACATTTTTGGAGACGCCACTGGTGATACACCACCCTTGCATGATGGTCAGGAGGGTTTAGGTCTTGTGTTCACTGGATTTGGTGTGGGTAGAGTGACTGATTGTTCTTGGAGAATTCTCCAGACAGTGGGAACACTGATACCTTCAGCAGCTGCAATTCTTTGTGCACTGGTTATGGGTTCTTCTTCCACTCTTCTCAGTATGTGAACTTCTCGAAATCCCACCTGTTATCTCAGCAGAAATCGGTTGACTAGAACCTTTCTTTTTCATTTGAGAGTACTATACCCCATTGAAGCTTGTAATGCTTTTTTTTTACCGCTGTATAATCCTGTTGCAACAGAACAGACCACTGAAAATTTGTTTTACATTAGTTCAAAATTAATTGGAAATTGGTACAGAGGAGACTCATTTTCAGTCAACCCAGAGAGGAAGGCTAAACCAACAAGCCATTGTTCACTAAAACCCCTTGTTAAAATTGAGTAGCTGTCATATTATAGGAGATTTAAATTCACTATTCTTAAATGATAAATATTAAATTGTACTGAGCAGGTTGTTAGTGTGCCATGGAATGTCTTGGTATTTATGCATTTGCCAAAATGTCAAACATATGATTCACCAAGCAGATTGGTGTAGCTGTAAGATGTAGACTTGTCTTCAGGAGGTACTCAGTTGACGTTTTGCCTGGAACAAAGGCTACCTTGACAAGAATTCCTGTGGTTTCCCTCAGACCCTGCAGGAAAATTCCAGGACATGACTGTTTCCTTTTCACTTCATTCACCATTTATCCTACCATTAGACACTCTGTAGTCTGAGATACTGACAGTGTCATAAGAAATAAAAGCATACATGTGAGGTAGAGGAAAATTATTATTGTCATTGTCAAATAATCTATTGAGAAACGTTTCTGAACTGTTACAGGTGATACATGTAGTAGGACTGAATTTTGGAGGAAAGTCAGTAACGCTGAACTTCAGCCTGTGCTGTTTTCACATCATTGTGCATGATCAGAAATCATTAATATACTACTAAATAAAGTGATGAATCTTGTTTCAGAAAATATATTCACAGTGTATAGTGGAGATTGTTATTAGGGAAGAAATTTTGAGAGAATATTTTACAGGGCATCACAGTACAATCACAAATATTTGAGCTCTCTCACCATGAACCCACATCATGTTTATCCACAACCAGTCATGTGATAGAATTTGTGTTTCATGCCTATTAGTACTTAGTGTCACACAGTGCAAGTTAAATTAAATTTAATTGCACTAAACCTAGTCTGTTAAATTAAAATTGTTGAAGAAATGTGCTGGAAAATGTATATGAATGTCGTCATTATAACAGTATTCTCTAGATTAGTGTAATGCTGCATGGGCAAAAGAGGTATAAATAACTGGTCAGCATGTTGAAAAATATACAAAATTGTAGAAACAAATGCAGAAGATATGGATCTCCTTATATTTGCTGATGGAAGTTTAGTGTTGCTAATGGTGTTCTCAGTGTAATGGAACTGACTCTTCATATGAGCTATTAATTGTAACAGCTGTTATTTCTTGTGTTTTTATAAAGAGATTGAAAACTTGATTCAGAATATGGATACCAATAGCTTTTGTAATATTTTACTTTATAGATGAGATGCGTTGCCGGCGAGAATTCTATGCTAAACATCCTGAAGCCCAGCCAACAAGCTGTGTAGATCAGGGAGAAATCAGTGACCAGTCGCACATTTATACACCTGATGAGGCCATCAGTTTGTCTCTTGAGTATTTTAGACCAACTGTGCCAGATAAGGAGGTAACTGAATTTACATAATAAGACCCACTGTTGAAGCTATAGATGTATAGCATAAAACAGAAATTTATAGAGATTTGTTATAATTGATGGATTTAGAAGAATGTATGACAAAATTATCATGGCCTATTTTAACCTTTATGAGCCAGATTTAAATGTCCCACTATTATGGCATTGCTAGGCACTCTCATTATTACATGCAGTATGTTGCAGATTTGTTTCTGGACATTCAGATACATCAGAAAGTTCATAAAAATACACCTTGAGAGCCTTCCTTAGAAATCTGTAACCATTAGAAAATGTCAGCTTTTGCTGTCATTATTCTGAAAACTTGATATTTCAAGAGCATTTTTCTAGTGTGTCTGGGTGATTGAAGGGGTCCATTTGCTTCCAGACTTTGTGTTAATGTTTACAGTGTGTGAGAAGTCTTAGCCATATATACAGGGTGTCCCAGGAGGAATGGACCAAACTTCGGGAGGGTGTTCCTTATGTTAAAGTATGCCAATAAAACCCAAAACACCTATGTCCAAAGTTGAACGGTTACGGAGATAATGGCCCAAGAAAAGTGTGGTCTTCTGGCAGGTCCACGCCCTGTACCTCTCAGCTGAGAGGCCTTATCTATGTTTGTCCTTGAGTGCCGTGATTCACCCTAGCCGTGCTTATGTAGTTGGCTTTATCAGAACGCGCAGTCAGCACGTTACGTCAGCGCTTGCCATTCATGTGTCATGTATAGTGCTTGGAAACCCTAAGGACAATTATGACATGGCGAGCGAGTATTTTGTACTTCAATTTTATGGCTTCATGTCACTCACAAGTTAGTTTGATGTTACGTACATTATTAACATTACAGAATCCACATATTCCTGCCAGTTTTAATATGTATTTTGTAATCAACAAGTGTGCAACGCCGGTCAAAGTTTGACACTTCTCTGGCCATTATCTCCGTAACCATTCAACTTTGGACATAGGTGTTTTGGGTTATATCGGCATACTTTAACATAAGGAACACCCTCCCGAAGTTTGGTCCATTCCTCCTGGGACACTCTGTATAGCACTGTACACTATGTAAATAAATAAGCACTAATACCTGTTATATTTTGAGTCAGCGTGGAGCGCACTATGCTGGAGAAGGCATGTTATGTACTGATCTAATGTGGAAACTGGCTATTTATTTGCTGAATTAGCAGGCACATATCTTGTGTTAGGTGAAGTAGTGAATATGCTACAATGAAGGTACAGAGAATATACCCTAATAGGAGATTACCAAGTCATTGTACTCTTCTTTCTGTTGATCATCCATTGTAAGAGATGGGAAAATTGCATGGAATGTGATAGATAGCCTGTCTTCAGTACCAGATGTCTTGCAGTTCATATAGGGACCTCCCAAGCTTCTGCATACTGTACAGTACCAGAACAGTGGCTGTATCCCTGTCACATTCAGACTGCAAGAGTTAGTTTTGCATGATGCATTGGCAGGATGTGCATTCTGTCAGTGGATTTTGCAGCAGTTGGTTGAAGATCCTGTTTACAACAAAGTTTTTATTCTTGGATGATTTTTGCTTTACAAGGATTGAGGTCACCGATGTTTGCAATTAACATGTGTGGTCAGGTGCAAATCTTAATGTAATTCAATCACATCACAGCAGTGACAGTTTTTCATCAACCTGTTGGCTGGAATTCATGGTGCTTGCCTCATAGGCCCTCATATTTTGTCAGCATGAGTTGGTGGCCATGATTACCTTACTTTTCTTTGAACACATGTAAGTGGAATATTGAAGGTGTGTTCCTGTACCCATCTTCATATGTGATTTCAACATGGTAGTGCTCCACAACATTACAGTTGTGAAGTTCATTAGTGACTTGGTTCATCCTTGTCCATCACACTAGTAATTGTATATAAGATTTTAACCATTGTCCAGTGTGATTAATAAAAGTTGTCTTTGGCCATTTTGACTAAATATGAAAAGGATGGAAAATAAAAAACGACTTTTATCAGTTACACTGGGCAGTGGTTAAAAATCTTATATACATTCATTAGTGACTGTCCTAAAATTATCTTGGATGCTGGATTGGTCTTGGAAGTGAAGTTTTGGTTTCTTGGCCTGCACATTCATCTGACTTGATTCCTCTTAATTTTTTGTGGAGATATTTGAAAACCAAGGTCTGTGCCACAACACTCAGTGTAGAGAGGAACCATGACTTCAGATTCAACAATTTGCAAGTGAAATGAAACATACATCCAAAATCTTCAAACTCTTGCAAGTTTTATTTTCATGCAGAGTTGAAGTTTTGTGTCTGTGAACACGGAGATCATTTCAAACAACTCTTGTAAGACAGTAAAAATAGGGAGGTTATTAATAGCTCTTTTGTTTGTTTTCTTCTTATACACAACCTGTCAAACTCAGGAAGTAATTAATGTGACCAAAGATGTTGAAATTAGAATAGCTGTAACTTTTAAGTAAGGCCTCACAGGATGTATATTCATATGAACTTTTTTATATAATTTGATGTTGAGAAACCCTCCTGTAAAATATGACATGTAATAATGGGACACCTGTATATTTAAAAAAATGTGATGACCTATTTGGGATTGCTGGACCAGTGCATTTCCTGGGGTAGTTGTGCATCGCATGATTGGTACAGAATGTCATGTCATGAAAAATAGTATTTGGTTATCCTACATTTAGGCTTATATCTGAATAAGGAACATATATTACCAGGATTTATTTCTAAATTACATTAATTAATGTGGGGTACACAGTAGCGTAGTTAATTGAGGCACTATGCTACAAGCCGGAAGGTTGTGAGTTTGAATCCTGATGAGGTCACTGGATTTTTTCAGTTGACCTAATCCTTCCAGCTGCACTATGGCCCTGGGGTCAACTCAGGCTCTAACAGAAATGAGTACCAGGAATCTTCCTGGGGGTAAAGGGAGGCTGGCACATGAGGCTGACAACCTCACGGCCACCTGTGAGCTGATTGTCTAGAAAAATATGGGACCCTTGATGTCTCATACACCTCTGGGACTCCACAGCCTGTTGCAGGAATAGCTTTACCTTCTTTTTTACCTTACATTAATTAATGTATGATTATACAGTGTTGAATCTTTTTGGTACAGGAATTCCATACAAAGCGATATCTTCGGTGTCCTGCAGCTGTGACAATAGCACATCTGCAGAAACTGATACGAGCCAAGTATGGGCTTTCGCCAGAACATCGTGTGGACATTATGCACATGGATGATACACTCAGTGAAGAATTTACACTTATGGATGTGGCTTATATCTACAGGTGGAGAAGGGTAAATGTTATAAGAAAACTGGTATGTGTGTGGGCATCTCGTGATCTGGGGGTCGCAGATTTTTTGTGCCAATAACAACATTGATATATGTGGGCAGCTGGTGATCTGGGAGCCACAGATTTCTTTTGCCAGAACACTTTTTGAGTTTGACACCAGCTGTATCAAATATGTATATTATTTTTTCACTCCTGTTTGCGCACTTGTGTCGTTTTCTCAGACAAAGTCAAGAGTATGAATATGAAGATTACTAGGTGACTTTTGTTGCTGGCATTATTTTACTTTTTTTGAGAGTAGCAAAATTGTATTTATTATGACTAATTTTGAATCATCTGTTTGTAATTTCCAAATTACATAACTTTCTCTATTCTCTGGCTTACTATGCTTAATTCTGTATTTTTTATTTGATCTTTTTATGAAAGATTCCTTATCCATTTACAAGATATGGTAATAAGATATTTTGTTGTTAATGTTTCAGAACTAATTTATTGTCTCATGTTTTCAGAAAGGCCCACTTCGCTTGAGTTACCGAATTTTTGAGTATTGTGAATTGAGCAGCAAGAGAATGAAACTGGATTGCAGCACTTCTGCAAGTGCAGTGACAGCGACATCTGCCAAAGAAGAGGATGAAGTGACTGTAAAGATGGAACCAATGGATGTTGATATTATGAAGACATTGGGTGAATCAAAGCATGAGATGTTGCAGAATACAAAAGAGGTGAAGAACAGTGTTTCAAAGGAAGAGAATAATAATAATGGCACTGGATCATGGAAAGAAGTTCAAATTCAAATCAGTGAGAATGGTGTTATGAGTGTGACAGACATTACAGTGCCACCTGTGATTGAGAATAACAATAACACGATGACAAACTGTATTCCAATGTCAGATGAAGGCTCCAAAATCTCCTTAATTCTGTGTGGTAATGAAACAAAAATAGACGTCCCTGAAGGAGTTCAAAAGCAATCCAAACACGCTATGTCTAAAGAATTTGAACATTGTAAGTCTAATGTTACTGAAGAAATATCAAGAATACCAGTAACAGTTTCATCAGCAGTTACAACTTTATCAACCACATCAATTCATATCTCATCAGCTGCAGCAGGTACAACAGTAACAGCACCATCACTATCGAAGACACTTGTTGAATGTAAAAAGCATGAATCTGTGAAGACATCAACTGAAAGTGTCGCCAGATCATCAGCAGTAGAAACTGCTATAACAAAAAATTCCACAGATGCAGATTATCCTACAAAGCAAAGTGATGTGCTGCTACCTATCCCAATAACCTCAGCTCCATCAAGCTCACCTTTGGCATCCCCCCCTGTGTCATCGTCAGGTGTTATTTCTGGTGTTGCCTCATTGCAGCAAAGGAATGAACTGACTGCATTCAACAAGAAGCCAGCAAACAGTAGCAATAAAAACATTAAGCCTAATTGTCCTTTACCTGAAACCCAAGTTTCTGGTGTACCATCACATCTTAAACATCCACAAATTACTCAGTCACAACCACTAGCATTGAAAGTTGGGCAGATATCATCTTCCTCAAGTGGTAAGGAAGTGAGTAAGGCAAATGATGATGTTGCTATTTTTACTAAGAGAGATACACCGAAGATGGCAGTTGTTGCTCCTACTCAGTCAATGTCAACAAATTCTGCAGGCAGCAGAAAACCTATGAATTCAAACAGTAGCTCATCTTCTGTTGGCTACAAGACACTGAAAACACCACCCAAAAGTTGGAATCAGAGTATTACCAGGTTGAGCTTCTTATCCTCTACCAAAAATAATACATATATGACGAATACATCAGGTGTGTCATGTGATGGACGGAAGTCAGGTGATTTGGCAGGTAAGGGTGTTGATAGTTCTGGTGCAGTTAGTTCAGGCAGTAAAGCCGTGGGTTGTGGAAACAATACTGTTCCAGCAAAACCAAATAGGTTTTTCAAAATGCGCAATATACCTCGATACCTTGGTAACCCTTCCTCTGGAGTTAAACCAATGTATCAGGTTGCCTCATTAAACAAACAGGAATTGGTAACACAGACTTCTCTTCAAACTTCAGCTGCAAAGCCAATGTATCATGTCGCTTCTTCTACAAATCAGCATAGCACTCTTCCTCCACATAGCTCAGCTGGAAACCTCAAGACATTGTATCATATATCTGGTTCAGTTGGGAGTAATAAACTTGATTCTGCATCTCCCACACATACATGTTCAAAGCCAGTCACAACTGGATGTCATGTTGGGAATCAACAAGGTAATAAGGTGGATTCTAATGTCCCTCTCCCAGTTGTTTCACTGTCATCAGGAGTTAAACAGGTGTCACAACCAGGTACAAATCCACAACAGATTAATAAACTAGACTGCAGTATTTGTACGCAGTCTGTTACTCAGACAACTACTGATACAAAGCCAGTTTCTTCTAGTATTTCGGGTTCGGAGCAGCAGCATTGCAATAAAATTGAAGATTCTGGAACCTCAGTGCACATAACACTTGCATCTTCCTCAGTGAAGTCCATGCCTTCCATGTGTTCTGCCCATTCAGGTGGTCCATATGTTTCCAGTGCATCTTCCAGTGGAAAATCCAGAGGGGGCAACAATAATAAACAAGAATCTGGGGCATCACTCATCTCGGGAATAAAATCCACTCATCAGATAGGATCACTCATGCCAAATAAACAAGATTCTGTAACTCCTCCAGTATCAAAACATGGTGGTGTTACCCTGATGAAAATTGACCCCAAAACACTGAGTCCAATTGTTGGAGCAACCTCTTCTCCTGGCACACCGCCTCTTCCTCTTTCTCCATCTCCTCAGTCTTCTAATCCTCCTCCATCTTCCATGACACCACAGAACCTCAAAACACACACTCCACAGTTCCCTCTACCAGCACATTCTAATTCAAACAGAAGTATTGCATCACCAAATAATCCACTAGGTTCCCCCTTCCTTCCCAGTCTTCTTTATTCAAGTTTTCCTTTCCCTAATATGGGTGTTGGGGTTGGTGGCAACCGTATGGGAACAGGTCCACCCCCATTAGTTCGTGCTGGAAGTGGAATAGGTCTTGGAGCATACCATCCCCTTCCTCCTTCCATCAACATGCTGTTCAATCCTCATCATCGTTCTCATACACACAATTCCACAACACCAGGCTCCCAGTCTGGTGTACCACTTCCTGCTGTGCAGAGAGTACCAGCTTCAAACCCCCAGCATAAAAGCAATTCCAGTACTAACAACTCTTTCAGCTCTAATTGTAGCATTAGTACTCCAGGATCAAGCAAACCGCCCACTAATAATGCAGCAGGGCAGGTTTCCTCTCAAAATGCTACTCATCAGAGAACGCCGCCTCCTACGTCCCACTCTCCTTCAGCAAGTCAGCAGTTGAAGTTATTCACATCTCAGTCATTGTCAAGCCAGAACTCCACGACGACCCAGGTACAATCATTACAGGCAGTGACAGTGACTGGAACCAGCCGTGAGAAGGCAGCAGAGGGAAACCTCCAGCAGAAGACAGTTGCAGATGGTAGTGCTGTTCCTGTTGCAAGAACAGTAAATGGAGAACAAAGTTCTGGGGAAGTGCTGGGGAAGAAGTCTGATAATGGGACAGTTAATGAAAGTAATGCTGAGGGTGGAGATAAGAACAACGGGGAACAGGGTAGCAGCAGTAGTAGTAATAGTAGTAGTAAGGCCAGTAGTTGCAGTGGTGGTGGGAGTGTGGCAGAACAGGTTAATAGTAGTATAAGTAATTCATGCTCCAAAAGCAAAACCTTCACAGAAGGCAGTGAAAGTGAAAAAGGATGTACAGGGAAAAGGGATGTACCAGGTGTAACACAGAATCAAACAAAACTGAAGCAGGATACCAGAGAAACGGGTAGTGATAAAGGAAATGATATTGAAGAAGCTGTAGAAATGAAAAAGCAGCTGGAAAAGACATGAAATATTGCTGTTTTGCAACTAATTATTTTATTGATTCTAATTATTGTCATGGTATTTAAGCAAAGGTATGTTTTTAACTCAATATTACATAAATATAACACAGTTATTATATATGTTGCCTTCCATATAACTGGATGGCCCGTTGCATCAAGACCAGTTTTAATTTATTTGCTAATACAAGATATTCTTGCTGCTTATTATTGACAGGTTTAACTAATCAGGGATATTGATGATTACATTGATTGTTGTATGCATTGTTAAAGTGTCAGAAGGTGGTTTGGTGCAGCTGGCTATGGTACACTGAATCTACAAATTGTTAAAGAGGATAACCCTCCATGGTAGTTGACAATCAAGTGCAATCCAAATTGCTGTTGCTGTTTGGGGTGTATGATACAGAAATAATCACTAGTCTGTATATTATTAAAAGTTGGGCATTGACATTTTAGGTACTGTAAATTCAATTTTAATGCTCGTGTGATTAAAATATATTTTGGAACTGTTAAATGTGATAATGTTTATTACAGTTGAAGGGATTTTCTGTTCAGTATATACTCATAATTCATTAAGAAGGCGTTAAGATTTAAGAACTCGTGTTAAACTAATGTATGAAAGTGAGGCACTGGTAATTTGAAACCACAAGACGATACTGCTAGAGTAATGCTGAATTGTTAATGCATGAGGAAAGTCCTGCATTTACCATCAGCTTGCAAGAAGGAAGAATGTACTATAGCTGAGAGGTATTTATGTTTCTAGAAATGATGGTTCAAGTGGTAACACTGTTAGTAATCATAAATGTACAAATAAGATTGCCAGGTGCCTCTTTATTTGGGAAAGTATTATAATATACTTGCAGCTGAAGGTGAATTGAAATATTGAAGGAAAGAAGCATTTTCTTATAAATATTTCTCCATCATATGCTAGGACAAGATGAATTAAAATTCTATTAAGTAAATTAAGTAATGCTTGATCTTTGTAGTTCATGTTTAAATTTAGTATACACTCTTTGTTTCTATCTTGAATGGGCGCGAATGTGCCGTGAAAGTTTTTACATTAGTCTAATTTTACTGTCACTTTTTTCTGTAAGTAAAGTAACTTGGAGTAGTAGGCAGGATTACTGGTAACAAAACTGGAAGTAAAAGTGAAACATACTCATTAAAATGCTGTAGGCTTTTTGTCACTCAGGGATTGCATTTTGAACTCCAGTTCCTTTGTTGTATTTATAGGAATGTGAAGCTTTTTAAAATAAGCTTAGGTGATGCACTTCTTCCTATTCATTTTATTTAAATTTTGAAAATTCACACCATGAGAAAACTGATTTTGATTCAACTTGGCCTAGCTGTTTTACCATGTCAGTGTATGCATTTCTGTCAGGTATTAACACCGCACTTTTCCAACCTGCCTTTTTTATATCAGCTCAGTCAGAATGGTGCTATCCCTTCTACACCTGTTTCTACCTTAGGATAGTGTATGATTATCACTGCAAGTTGTCCTCACAGATCAAACTAAGGAAGGTCGGTATAGGTACGGGAAACTAGCTGGGTTGGTTAGCATGCACTCAAGGTAGTGATGCCGAATTAAGTGGTATTCTGGGAGTTGATCCAACTTGATGTTTATTCACTTATTGTTCTCCAAACCTCACTGTTAATTTATTGTATGTTAATGCTTACAATTACAATATATTACTTGATCTGCAACCTGTGTCTCGGAGCATGCAAGGGTCACATCTGTACACTTGAAAATATGGTGAAATACTTCTTGTGGAATGGCTTGCACACCCTATGATGGGAATCATCCGAAAAATTCGAATTCTCCATGGTGCGGATGTATACATGTCATTCCTTCTCCCTTAGGGAAGTGTGAATGAGGCAACTCAGTCATAATGGCCCTCATTCACAGGCAATTGTAACGAGTTCTGACCTGTCATTTTCAGTGACTTTTGTAGGTGCGTCTGGTTTCCTGTACACGAGCTAAATTAATGACTGATAGTAAATGTCAGAACTCCGGACTCCTTGGCCCTGCCAGAATCTAGGAATTTCAACATAAACACCATATTGCACATCCCAAACAATGAAATACAATATTTTAGATCACAGTAAAGTTCCAGTAATATTTAAATATAAGATTTTGAAATTAAAATTACCGAGAATAAATTAGAAATAAAGTTCACTGTCATTTATAATCATCCAAATAAATAAGGGAAGACTGATCAGTGTCAGTATATTACTGCTGTTCAGGAAATACAGGTGTTTTAGTCACCAGATAAGTGAGCTCTCTCAAAGGTGAGGAGAGAATTTGGGGCTGTCAGGATGCTGTGTGTGTGTGTGTGTGTGTGAGAGAGAGAGAGAGAACACACGTGCTTGCTCACTTTTTTCTACTGCCCATAAAAAGAAAAATGCACAGTACCTGTAGTACTTCTGAAAGTACTGAGTAAAAGAGCTCTGAGTCAGCATCTTGGATACTTGCCATGCTGTACTTAGATGCTGTCAACAGTAAGAGGCAGGGCACGTAGGGCTGAAGGAAATGCATGTGAACAGTATGTTCATGTATCAGTATTTAGATTATGTCTGATGGCCAACTAGAGATGTGTTCATTTGTTTTCCTTCAGATGCAGCCAGATGAAGTAGCTTGAAGTAAGGCTAATCAAGAGACAGAATAGATTACCCACATACTTGAAATGCATCACAGCCAACCGTAAATGATGCCGATGATGTTAGTGGCATGGTAGGAGAAGTTTTGTAAAATGGAATATCATAATTGTTTCCATTGTATTTTTGTCATGACAGTATTTATATAATGTCAATGTTGCAGGTATATCTTAAAAAATCCTTGCTTTTTTGGTGAAAGTTGTGGTCTAATATCCTTTCTTTCATTATGTGAGTGGAACATGGGTTTCTTTGCTGTATTTCCCAATGGAATGTCATGTTAACAAACAGTATTGCTTCTCTGTTCAACATTTTTTTTTATATTTGCCGTATCAGAGATAATTTCATTCTAGTTGTGGACACATGACCTGAGCATTTGTTACCAAAAGAAAGTGGCTGATATTAGCAAAAGGACAATTTTAAAAACTAAAAGTGGCACCCAGTGTAGTACTCTGATGCCTATGATCTGGTAGTGACTGAGAAAGAATTTTATGTACCAAAATGGCACAAGAAATTCTGTATGACAAATGTTAATGTGGGATGAAGACAGACTGGAGCATTTGTTATTTGTCCCTTCAAGTTGTGTAACATTTAAACTGACTACTTCTCCCATTAATCTCTTTCTGTTTGTTACTAAGACATTGCCAGTATCTCATCAAAAGCCTGGTAGCAAAGTGTGGGATGTTTTGAAGAACATAATGCCTTCATCTTCATAAACTCAGTTATAAAATAGTGGCATATAAAAGTACAGTTCAGTTTTTGCATTTTTATTCAGGGTATGCTAAAGAGCATTACAGTGTTGTGATTTTTCACAGTCACTTGTCTTAGGGTCACAGATTTAAAACTACAAAAGTAGTTTGAAAGCCTGGCACAGTTGTTAAGCACTTTACCAAATACAAAAATATTCAAAATTGTGTATCAAATATATTGTAGTTAAATAGTTCAGTATGAAAGCTGTCAGCAATGTTGGTAGAAAGTAATGTTTTTAACTGAAGTATTTTCTGCTGTGAAGGTGCATTAATGTACATTAATTGAAAGCTGCTGATTACAGTTTAAAAATTTGTGTATATTGAAAGTATAAAATTATGGCACTGTTTTATACTATCAAGTGCTGTGAATAAAAGTAAAATAAATTCCAGTGCTTCGATACTAAAAAGTTCAGGTGAAGGTAGGAATGTCAGAAAACTTAATACATTGCAAAATAATATATTCATTTGGATTTTGTAATTTATAAATAATCTTCACATTCTACTTTTAGTGCAAATTAAAGCAAAGTGCATCTTGTAGAATGTGTGTTAGCATTTTCAAGTTGATATTCCAAATTTCCTTTTAACCTTTTGAAGTTTCACATAGCTTAGGGTATTACAAATTTATACAAGTACAGTGTATTTTAGGGCTTCTTGCAGATATTTGGACCACTCAGGTGTACATGTCTGACATTCTTTACATCGCAATTGGCCATGGAGAAGTGGACTAGTAGTGGAACTGACAGCCCTATAACATACATAGTTTCTTTTAGTTTTTCTCCAACAAATCACTGAAGAGCTATCTTAAAATGAGCCCATGCGTTAAGGGTTGCCTGACTGTGATCCTGATCCTCTGCTGCTCAACTCAACTTATGCAAGAAGTATGTACTCAGTCATGTTATTTCTTGTGTTGAAATGCTGCGTGTGTGAGTTACACATTGCTGCAATGAGGATTCATGTTTTAAACCTCTGTGGTAAGTGTTATATAAGAGAAAGGATAAGATGCAAGTGTAAATTTCAGGATTGTACAGTTCCACATAGAATTGTTTGTAGAATCATAAATACTCTCACATGATCAAATGACTGTAGGTGGGGTTTTGGATTGGTAATTGGATATATTGAACACGTACAGATTGTAACTACAAGTAACTGTAGCGCTGTCTTTAATTTACACATTCTCTACAGAATGCACGAAGTCTGTTGTGCCTTCACTGATTGTCTGGTAATGGCTACCAACGCCATAGATCCCTCAACTTCTGTGTTCACTTCCTTACTGGCTGGCAACTGTCTCAACTAACTTGGCACTGCTATGCCAAAGGGGTCGACTCCACTGGGGTTGGGGGGGGGGTCTGTCTCACAACAGACTCAGGCTGGTCTGCCTACCTGTGGACTCTAGCGAGACTGACTTCCGCATGGACCTACAGAGAACACTGCCTCCAGCAGTTCCTCCACTGTTGCATAATGTCACTGTTGGTCTTGACCCACAGACAGAACCGCTTTGAACAAGTCTGTACATAACTGTTGCTACGCTGAAGTTGTGTTTTGTGTTCCATTGTTTCATCACTGTTTATTGTGCCATAACCAAGTAATATCTGTGTGTTCCCATCCTCGTGTGACATTGCTCCCTCCTTAAGACTGCTTGTCCTAAGTAGCCTACAGGAGGTGTACCACCATTTTGTTTCTAAGGGGACATGCCTGTGACATGTGTTCGTCCTGGCAGATGGCAGTTCATCTTGCTGATGCTGACATCTTCTGGTTTCAACGGCACCCAGCCTTCCTTGTTGGTTGGTTTTCACGTTGCCACCATCCAGCCGCTCATCTTGAGAACCATGGTCCTCTCATGGGCACATCATCAGCGTGCTTCCCCAACCAGTGGCCCCTTCTCGTTTCCAATTCCTTCCCTGGGGGTTAGACTGGTGTTCTTGCTTTAGTATGATGTGTGGCCCAGGAACCCATCCTTGCGAGGCTGTTCGCTACCTCCCTTTCAGACACACCGTCACCACTCTGCCACACCAAGCTGCTGATATATCACTGTTTCCTTCCAGCATGAGGGTGAACATGGTTGCATCATGGGGCGCCGCAATGGCACTTCCTTTCTGCCCAGTCATAACATGAGATGCTTCCGATCCATGGCTGCATTGTGGGGACACAGGACATCGAGTCCCAGGATGAACACTTCAGTGCTACTGGTGATGAACACCCAAGTTTTCAGTGGGAGCTGCTCCAGGGTCATTGTCACGAAAACTTCCTTCAAGATGGGAAGGGTCTCCTCTGATGTCATCTGCAGCCCTGCTGCCATGACAGGTCTGGCGACAGTCACTGCTGCTCCTGTGTTGATAGTCATCAGACAGACTTTCCCCCTGGTCATCCATCATCATGTAGATTGTGATGGCTGTCTTCACATGCTGAGTGGATTACATGGAGGCATGAATGTTGAACATGTTGCTTCCTTCATTAGTTTCTTCCTGGTCCTGTGCTTTTGGTTGAGCATTATCTTCAGTGAAGTGTTCCTGGGGGCATCCCTGTTGGCATTTCCTCCTACAGTGACCGACACCCTGCCATTGCCAGCAGGTGGGCCATTCCGTCCTGCTGCACTTGGTCTTCGGTTAAGATGGTCCCCTGGTTGCTCTAGTCCTATACACCCGGGGTGCTATATTCCCTTGCTGCCTGTCGTCTCTTTGTTCTGGCTTCCATTCACTTTCTGAGCGTCTGTGGTTTCGTAGAAGTGTCTTGGCTTCCCAGAGCTCCAGCATGCCGGTTGTCTTTGGCCCTATCCTCTGGTTGGGGGGGGGAGAACTCCCAGAATGTTCTGGTGATCGTTTTTTGGGACCTGGCTGCTAGGAACACGGCCTACCCGGGAGCCTTGTTCACTCTTTTCTATCCCAGAAGCTGCTAGATTTTTATGTCTGTGTCCTGTACCCTGTAGGCGAATGTCTTGCCTCCCTACTTCATCACATGGTCCTCGGGTAGTGCAGGGTAGGTGCGGTGGGCCAGCTGTCTGTGGCGGTGTAAGATTATTATAAGGATTCTCCAACACTCTGGGTTGTGTTTTAAGTTGACTGCAATACGCGGAAGCCAATTGCTGGTCCCCAAAGGGTTCCTCCAGGGACTCCCAAGTGTTTCCTCATAGGTCACTCCTTTTAGGGACTCTGTGTGGCATATTGGAGGCCTGCCTTGCAGGGCGGCAGTCAAGTATGTGTCACTCTCCCTGGGTATCCAGCAGTTGTGCTCTGCTACGGTCTTGGACTGGCATCGGAACATGGCCCATGATGTGGATCCGTCGAACTTGGATAGTTTTGCCATGCTTGCGCTGGTTTTTGTAATCATGCATGATCCATGTGTTTGTGAATAGGCTGTAAAGTTGGCCCATGTAACCCAAGATCTGTTACATTATTGTCTAACACTCATGTTGCCAAGCTGGTGGTACGTTCTCATAATGGTGAAAGTCAGCAATGGCAAATTCTCAGCTGGTATGTTTCCCGTGATCGTATGTACTCTTGATGCGTATATTACTACACCCTCTGCAGTTCAGGGGGTCTTTTCTGAGAGATGACCTGACTATTCTGTCACATAAGTCTTTGTCTTAGTCAAACTCAAACAACTCATCTTCTGGTACAGTTCCTAAGTACACATTCTGACTAATCGATCCTAAAGAGCCATAGTTTATGTGAGATGTCATTTTGTAGTTGGCAGTGTTCACTAGCATTCACTTGCTGATATGGCCAAGAAGAGCTGAACTGTACCAGTGCCTCTTGGCAAATGCTCTGTGTTCTGGTATCCCAAAGTGAACATGTAACATTGACACAACTCGCATGCAGTGAATCCAAGGCAGGACTTGCAATAACTTGTGTTGCCCTCAATCCTAATAGGTTTTTGGTAGGTCTGCCTGCTTCTTCATTATTATTGGAGTCAAATCAGCCATTAGATCTCACTCTTGATCTTCTATCCATTAATTGGTGTAACGAACGTCACAGATTATTCTCCCCTCTGTTACTAATCGTGATTTCTGGCTCCAGTCCTTCCATAGCATCCATGTAGTCCTGGAGGATGAGGTAAATCCATCTGTACTTTTGATTCAGGTGTGCTGTCGGTTTCTCCTAGTCTGGATAACCAATGTGCTAAGGGTTCAAGTATGTACAGATTCATGCTTTCAATTTCTCGAATAAAATCAAGATCTAGCTGGTCAGGAAAGCCTCTGTGCCTTGAGGCATGCTATTCTATTCCAGGAGCAGATGGTTATATAGTAATTAAATACACTTTCTGGACTTGCTCTTCTAGTGCACAATTTGCTGCAACAAGTTCAGCAAGTTCTGCATATGTAGCATCTATTAAGTCAGGCATTCCACACACCACAGGCCTTAATCTCGTGGCCTGATCTGTAGGGTTAAGGGTATCCTTGGAGAAATTGTCTAAACATTCCAGCCACCATGGATCGTTCTTGTAATCTAATCCATGTAGTTCATGTGTTGCATCCAATGCCATCGCTGAACCACTACAATCTGATGATCAACCCACCGTAAATCTGGAAGGTTCTGGCAGAGTTGGTGGTGTGTCTGTGAGGCTGCCTATTGTCGCTGTTCTCCGTTGCAAAAACGTCCTCATACTTCGCAATGAGTTTTTCTAGCTCCTGGCTTTCTTCATTGCTTAAGTTTGGCCTGGTCACTGCGGGGCAGTTTCCTGTATCTGGGATCTGCTGCGCCAAGTGAGGTCACTGGTTCACAGTGTGCTAGGGGGAATCCTTTAGGTAGTGTCTAGTTGCAATTTGTAGTATTCATGACCATGCTCCCGGTGATCCAAGATCACGGCTGTTATCAGGCCATCCTCTGCTCCAAGGGGGTGCTCATGTTGGGCCATCACTGCTCCCTCGCATCGTGCTGGCACCACTTGGTTGCTGGCCACCACAATGCGGGAAGACCAGGACATTGATAACAATACTTCCACTTCTCCAAGTTTCAGCATGTATCACTGCAAGTCCACAGATGCATCATAGGTGTGCAGGACATCTTGTCTTAGTATGAACTCATCGGTGATGCCTGTGATGAATTCCCAGATACTCATGCGTCCCTGCCCAAGTTTCAGTTCTCCTAAGGCCTTCAAGATGGGGAGAAACTCCTCTGATGCCATTGTCAAACGGTAGCATTGGCTCAGCTTCCTCTTGGGGCATGTTTGCAACAATATCGGGCCTAGCAGCTGTCACACATGCCCGAGTGTCGATGGTCACAAGGCACAGCTTGTTGTCAATCCTACCCTGGATGATGAGGCTATTTTAACTAATGTGAAAGTGGGAGGCACACGATTTGAAAAGTCAATGTAATCAGTGCTAATCATGGACATAGATATCTTGCTAGGAGGTTTCCAAAAATGTTATTCAGCACGTGGGTGCAAACATTTTATCAAGATGCCAGAAATGCATGCAGAACATAGCATTTCCATAATCTGCTACAATCTGGGAAGTTTTATTTACATTATGTATAGGATGTAGGTTTGTCGATTATCAAAATATCTATGGCCCATTTCGATAGAATATTTTACTCTTCTGCCCGAGTGGCTCGGTAATCACAAGAAGCTGTAAGGTGGTCACACTGTTCAAGAACTATTTTTTTATTTATATAAGTTTTGATGAACTGAATTATCCAGTGTCTCTCAACCTAATTGTATTTGTTGTCCATGTTTACTGCAACCCAATATGAATGTTTTTATTACTTATTAATACAATGATCAGGCATGTATTACTGAATTTTCTTTAAT